CTGCAGGACCCATGACATCTTCAGGCACACAGGTCTCCAGAAATGACACTGAAGCCTGGCCATGCCAACTGGGAGTTCTGTCCTACCTAATGTTCCCTGTGTGTGTGGGGTCTTTCTGCATCTCAAAACGCACCTTTTAGAAATTATTCTTTTGGGGGGGCTAACAGGTGGCACGGTGGTTAAAGGCACTGGATTCTCGCATGGCCAACTGCGGTTTTTGAGTCCCTGACCTGTAGGCTTGCTTTCTTGCTTTCCCTTTTTCTTTCTCTCTGTCTCTTTCTGGTCAAATTAATAATAATAACAAATGGAATTAATTAAATAAATAATTCTATTTTTTTAAGGAAAGAATTTTATATTTTTATTTATATATATATATTTTGGGGGGGGAGAGGTTTTTGCTATTGGGCACGTGTGCTCTCTAGAAAGACAGAGACGGAGAGACAGAAAGCGAGAAATCACCCCCAGGGAGGATGGCCATGCCACAATCCCTTCTCCTCCATTTTCCTCTCAGATCTCAGGTACGTACATACACGCGCCTGGTGTGAGTTTAAGCCACCAGGTCCAGGACTCGAACCGCGGTCAGCTACATGGGAGTCCAGCGACATAGCTATTATGCCAACAGCTGGTCCCAGAAAAGAATTTTATTTATTTATTTATTTTTTAATTTGCCAAGGGGTGGATGTGCTCACTGGAGAGAGACGGAGAGAGAGAAAGAAAGTGAGCAAGCACTCGCCAGGGGCAAGATCACATTGCAGTCCCTTCTCCTCCATTCCCTTCTCAAGATCTTGGGTACCACAGGCATACTCGCCAGTGTGTTTTTCAAGCTGCCAGAGCTGAGACTCAAACCATGCAGTCGGTCATGTGGAAGCCAGCTGCCTTAACCACCATGCCACCAGTTTACACAGAAATTATGCTTTTGTTTCCTGTTTGTTTTTTTTTTTCTTTTGTATTATTTTAGGTTTTTGACATAGGGCATATACACTTGCCAGAGAGAGACAGAGAAAAGGCAAGTGAGAAATCACTCCCTGGGGGCATGGCCACACCTCAATCCCTTCTCCTCCATTCTCCTCCTGGGATTTTGGACACTCATGCACACGGCCTGGTGTGATTTTTAAGCCACCAGGTCCAGGACTCAAACCGCTGTCAGCAATGCAGAGGTCCAGCACCTTACTCACCATGCCACCTGCTAGCCCCTTCCTGGAAATTACGCTTACACTTGGCCTTCCCTGGGGATGGGATGGGCCCCGTGGTGCCTGCTCCAGATGTCTGCGTAGCAGCTGGGACGTGCTATTGTTGTAACTGCGCTGTGGTCTCTGGCCCCTTCGAGTTCCTGGAGGGCAGGGATCACACCTGGCTCACCTGTGTGTTCACCTGGCCTTGCCCAGGCCTGGCATCAGTGGACACTCTGTGATTATTTGCTGATTGGCAGGCTAACAGCAGGCAATGCCACGCCCATTAGATTTCTGTGCCAAGGCTCGAGGGGTTCTCAAGCCCCTATTCCACAAAGGCTGCTTTCACTGCCCTATCCTGGGGAAGGAAGCAGGACTTGAAGCAGAGCCTGGGTGCAGGACTTAGAGCAGGTAAAGGAGCTCCTGAGTAGCCTGGGGTCAGGGGGCTAAGAGGAGGGCAGAGGGAAAGGCATCTCTCCTCCAGTGCTGGTTCCTCCTCCAAAGCGCATGCCCCTTCCCACCTTCTAGCTGAGAATTAACTGGTCCCTGGAAAAGTGGAGTAGGGTCTATCCCACTCCCACTCTGAAACAAAATTGCCTTTCTTAGGTTCCAGTATTAGCGGCCCTGCAGAGGCCCAGGAGGTGCTCTGTTTGTTCAGGCAGCCGCCACGTTAATTCCATGCTGGCTGTTTCCGGGACAGTCAGGTACCCTCCAACACTTCCCAAGTTTTCATCTCATTTGTGCCATTTCTCTTCTGCCAAAATGAGGCTCTGCATACACCTTCCCTTTTGGCCTCTTTAAAACAAGCAATATTGAGCAAACAGCAACAAATGTTTATCATTAGTCACCTTAAATAAAGCTGAAATAGAAGGTCAACCAGCTAGGCTTCGAAAAATGGTGGCCCATACACTGCCATGTTCCCAAAGCGTGCTTCTCATGAGTAGAAACTTCTTAACTCTGTATGTGTGTGTGTACATACACACACACACACACACACACACACGCAGGCTTCTTATTTTTTTATTTTTTTGGAGAGGGTTTTGCTATAGGGCATGTGCGCTTGCCAGACAGGCAGACAGAGACAGAGAGACAGAAAGTGAGAAATCACCCCCCAGGGAGGATGGCCATGCCGCAATCCTTTCTCCTCCATTCTCCTCTTGGGATCTTGGGCACACGTGCACACACGCCTGGCGTGAGTTTAAGCCACTGGGTCTGGGACGTGAACTGCGATCGACTACATGGGAGTCCAGCGACATAGCCGTTACGCTAATTGCTGGTCCCAACACAGGCTTTTCATTAACCAGCACAACACTCATGCCTGTCTGTAAGAACTTTCTCCTATGTAACTGGTTCTGCCTCAAGGACTTCTTGTTTTATGATGTAGAGGAAGGACGATGACCCTTAGCATCCTCTTTCTTGTTTCCTGCAGGAAGAACCTCCTCTGTGACGGAGGCTCTTACATCTCCAAGACTCGCCTCTTGTGTGCCCAACTCTTCTCTGCTAGGTTTACCACAAGACGGTGTCTGCCTCCCCGCCCCTATGCTGGAACTGATTATCACAGACAATTACAGGATTTTATACTCCTGTGTTCTAAAAACACACAGCCCGGGAAAAGCACAATACTTCCAGAGCTAAAAGAGTTGCAGAGAAACCACCCAATTGCACTACTGCTAGGGTAGTATTTGTAAATAATGTATTTGCACGCACAACTAAATTTGCATAGACAGATCCCAGGTGACATTATTATTTTATATATATTATTATTTTATAGGCTTGAAAGTAGACTTTAACAACAAGCAAGACCTCCGACAGAAGGTGCAGACACTTTAACTGCATGGAAGAAAGGCTGGCCACCTTCAAATGTCAGTTCTACATATGGGTTGGGACAAATGTATCGGTATCTATCCTGGAGGGAAATATTGCCTCTCTTTTATGTGAAGATATGACTGCATGTGTAAAACGCTTGCACTAAAATTAAGCCTTCTATCGTCCAAATTTCCTCAATTATTAATATACCAGACAGCTGCAGTAGCTCTTGCAAAAATAGCAGCCAAGCTTTTCCAAAAGTCAAAGCAGTCATGCACTGTCTGCCAGGGGACTTGCTATGTAAGGAGTGGTTGGTCCCTGGATCAAACAAAAAGAAACAAAACCACCAGTGGAACAACAAAAAGAGACTAACTTGTTTCAGAATGTAAACTGGCAAGTGACTCCCGCCCCTAACACATACACATCAGCCTCTTTAGAATAAAAAGGGTTTGTGCATGAAAAAAGGTTGATTGAAAAGGCTGCCTATCTGCCCAACGCGACAATAACAAACAATTCAGAAACTGAACAGCAAACCCCCAAAATGGTAATCATTTTGGTGTATTCTGGAAGAATGATCAAACTGCAGCTGCTCATTGTTGATGGGGGACGGTTAGAGACAGAAATTATGAAATTATGTTTTTTTTGTTTTGTTTTGTTTGTTTTTTTGCCTTCTGGAGGCTAATGAATGTTCAGAAAATAAAAGTCCTTAGTTGCTATCATCATCTTTTTTTTCCTTTTTTCTGCTAGTGCGTGTATGCACTTGCCAGAGAGAGATGAAAAAGAGAAAGTACCCACCCTGGGAGATGGTGACTCTGCAGTCCTGTCTCCTCATCTCCCTCCTCCTGGGATTTTGGGCACACGCAGCACAGCACGCACGTTTCCCAAGTCACCAGGTCTGGGACTGACTGTGCAGTCAGCCATGAGGGATCCAGCTGCCTTAACCGCCAGAGCACAGGGCCAGCCAGCCAACTTTATCTTTCAAACAGGTCTTCGCATCATCCTAACAGACTCTGCTAATTCACATCCTTCGTGTAACTATTCACATTTGAAAACTGTGGTTTTAATTATATATATATATATATTTTTTTTTTTTTTTTTGAGAGGTTTTTGCTATAGGGCGCATGCGCTCGCCAGACAGAGAGAGACAGACAGAAAGCGAGAAATCACCCCCCAGGGGGGATGGCCACACCGCAATCCCTTCTCCTCCATTCTCCTCTCAGGATCTTGGGCACGCACGCACACGCACCCGGCATGAGTTTTAAGCCACCGGGTCCGGGGTGTGAACTGCGGTCGACTACGTGGGAGTCCAGTGACATAGCCATTACGCTAACTGCTGGTCCCTGAAAACTGTTTTGAAGTAAAAACCTGAGCACTCAGAGTATCACAATTCCATCTTTTCTGAATTCAATCATATTCACCAATTTCAATCGAAAGGTTATGTGTCCGATTTGCAACAAAAACCCCTCAGATTTTAAAAGATTGGTTTTGGGTTTTTTCCCAAGGCAATGACATTAGCGCTTAAATGCATCACACTAGAGAAAAGATCACTCGTCAAGGTTACACTGCGAAGGGGCCCGGCTGACCGTGCGTTTCACGTTTCCTGTCACAGTCCTGATTTCAATCATTCTAACCTTTACAGGCAATCGGGCCACAGGCTCTCGTTTCCGCTAAGTAAAATACCTCCCTCCATCCAGGCCTCGGCACCATACACAAACAGAAATGGCTGTGGGTCTTTGAAGAAACGGAACGAGTTGGAAACGTGCATCTGTTTGCACCAGTTCCACATAAATCTGTGTCTAAGAGCCAGGACAGCATTGCTTTTTCACTGTCACAATCTCCATAAAAACCAGAGCCATTTTCCAATGAATGCCAACCAATGCCGGAGAAGCAGAGCATGGCTGCTTGGAAGCGGCTGTGAGTGCCTTCATCTGAGCCCCTGGAGTAAAGCATCTGCTGTGACTGCCGGCGTCAGTGAGAGCCAGGACTTGCCACCACACGAGCACTCAGTGTCCCCGTCCCACTCACCATTTGCGATCTGTTCTTCGGACAGCCATTGATGTCTTCAATCTTTTCATTTGCTGGAAAAGGAAACACAAGTCAGAAAAAGAGCTACCAGGGAGACACTCTCCGTCGTGATGTGCAGGACGCTTGAGGCCAACCAAGTCCTAAGGCCCATCCTGGGGTCCGTCCAATCCACGCAGGCCTGTGAAACACTGAGACAAGCCTAGCAAGCTTCAGGACTTACTCATAACGCCGCCGTCCCCCAGGGACAGCTGGGGCAAGGTCGTCATCATTTAACACAGAGACAACTGCATTGACGACAGTCCTGGAGTGATGGGGCACCATGAAAACGCCTGGAGACTGGGAAACAGTGAGCTGGGACTGTACTTTCGGCTCTTGGAAAGGCAAACGCAACTAGAACCTCCCCACAAAAGACAGAGTAGCTCAGAATGGGTTTGCACAGCTAAAACTTTGCTCCTGGGGACAAAAGCCATAAATAAAAGCATTTGGCCTATCTTTAGTCAGAAGTACTAATACTGCTTTTGTTTGTCCTAATACTATTTGCAAAGCTGTGGCAAATGAGGAAAATCAAAGAGTAGGATTTACAAAGGACTTGACTGAGCCAGCAGGTGGCATGGGGGTTAAGGCGCTGGGGCCCACATAGCCTACTGCAAGGTTCGAGTCTGCACCCAGCAGCTTGAGAATCGTGTCAGGTCCATGTGGAGGAGACTGAAGGAGAAGGGACTGTGGCATGGTCACCTCCCCTCTCTCCCTAGAGAGCACATGCACTCTATGGCAGAAACTGAAAAGACTTGACTAAAGCCACACAGTAAAGTCCAAAACAGATCAAGGAACACGCATGCGTGAAGTCACAATAGCACCTCGCTTAGAGAAGTGTTAGGAAGAGGTAATTCTGAATGAACAGGAAATCGAGTACTAATAGGACAGCAATGAACGGCTCAGCTTCACAGTGAGCGCAGTCTGTCACTGAAAGACACAGGGAGGAACTCCAGGCAGGCAACAGCCCAAGACACCCAGCAGAGGCTGGGTTTGAAAACTGCAGTGACACAGAGAGGTAGTGTGTGCTGGGCAGGACACCGGCTGTGGAGACAGACACTCCTGTGTGCATCCCAGCTCGAGTTTCTTAGCTATGTGTTCTTAGCCACTGGCTCGCTCTGGGTCCAGTTTCTTCATCTATAAAATGGGCCTAATACGACCTACTTCAGAAAAAGCAGTGAGAATTAGATACGATGCCAGCCTAGCACGGTGTCTAGCTCACAGCGAGTGCCATTAACCCCAGTGTATCTTCTCATCATCTATGCGAAATACAGAAAGTAAATTTATTTTCAATGTGGCCAACAGAGTTAAGCTCAGAAGCTCAGCTAGGACCTCACCATGAAGAACTAAGGATTTCTCTCCTCTTGAAGCTTTTTCCTGCCCCCTCCCCAGTCCCATGTTCCTGTACCCCCATGTACCCACCCACACACAGAGCTCTCTCAGTCCCCGTGGCACCTTGTACCTGCCTCTATTTTGGCTCAGAATCATCTAACGTGTAACTTTATTTTCTTGTCAGCCCCAGCTATGCCCTAAGAACCTTGCTGACATGTAGTTTGTTTTTCATATCTGCTTGGAGCTCAATAACTGCTTGCAAAATTCAATTCCAAAACATAATTATCATATCAGATTGTAATGCGTATGATGCCTAAAACTTCTATAAAGAGAAAAGGGGGTAAAAATTGTCCGAAGGGCCAGCCAATGGCATGGTGAAGGTGTCAGGAGCCCATGTTGTCAACCGCACAGTTCAAGTCCTAAACCCAGAGGTTTAAAAACATACCAGGCGTCTGTACATGCCCCAAATCCCAAAAGGACAAATAGAGAAGGGACTGAGGCATGGTGGCATCCCCCATTGGAAGTGCTTTCTCACTTCTCGCTCCCTCTCTCTCTCTCCCTCTCTCTGTCTCCAGCAAGCATACATCTTCTCTAGCTAAAAAAAAAAAAAAAAGTCTGAAAAGGGTAATGGAATCAAAGTGTCGCAAGCCTCCAAGATTTTAGAAACTTAAATCTAAATATAGCTTACCATTATCTCAGATTTGGTTTAATTTTTTTTTTCTAGTGCTTCTATCTTGAGAGAAAGGCAAGTTGGTGGCAGGAAACTGCTTAAAAATCTAATTACCATGAGACAGCCCAGTGGGTATATATTCAGCATAATCTGCACCCTCTTTAGAACTTGCCAAAAGTGATAGATGTTCAGCCTTAAGACCCACTTGGGAAGAGTTCTAATCTTCTAAGATGTAATTGAGTTTTCTCAACTCTGCTTAACAGATCACTGGGACAGGCATTTTAGGAAGCCTTACTCTCCAAAGGTGCTACAAAGTACATAAAAGTGCTCAACTGGCCAGCTTCATGGCCTGGAGGTTAAGGCGGCTGCATCTCACATGGCCAACTACACAGTTCAAGTCCTGGACCCTACGGCTTGAGAAACATTCAAGAGTGTGTGTGTGTGTGTGTGTGTGTGTGTGTGTGTGTCTCCAAAGTCCCAACAGGGTAGAGAAACACAGAAGGCACTGCAGCGTAATCATTCTCCCTGGAGCGTGGGAAGAGGTTTTCCCTCTCTTCCCCTCCCTCCCTCCTTCCCTCCCTCCCTCCCTCTCTCTCTCTCTCTCTTTCTCTGTCTCTGGCAAGTGCATGCACTCTATGGGAAAAAAAAAAGTGTGCCATGAAGGGAATGACTCACAGACTGACTCAGAGATTTACTCTCAGGTCACCAGAAAGCACAATTAGCTACAGTATCCTGCTCTCATGTAAACGTCAGGAGAACAGAGATGTTGATCTGCTGCATGTTTTACTGTAACCCCAGGGTTTGGTGCCTGGCCCGGTAGCCACTCCATAAATAATTTGTTTGTTGAATGGCACTGAGGAATATGTATCCTGAACGTTCCAATGAATCCCGGTCGTGTCCCCTATTTTGAGATAGCTGTCCCATCCTTTTCTGTCTAGTGCATACAGAAGAACACACTGAAGGTGGCGCAAAACAAGAAGACCCTTGAAAAATGGTACTCCTTCATCCATAGGAAGTGACGGCCGCCATGAACTCTGGCCTTAGATTTTGATACTCAACATTGGCAAGATTAAATATATGGCTTGCAAGGATCGAGGCCAATCGAGGTGTCTTCCAGTTGAATACTCATAATGGTCAAAGTCATTAGTCACTGGATTCTGATCAATACCCAGTTTAGCATTCAGTTATTAGTGCTCATTACGATGATGGATAGATAACTGTGATCCTAGAAAGTCATCTGGGAAATTTTAAGGGTTCTTTACACAAGAGTACTTAAAAAGTTGGGAAAACAGAATTTTCTGGTTCAAAAATTTGAAATCCATACATATGTTTTTCATAATACACATTTTCCATGAACTTTTTGATACTACCCTCCCTCCCTCCCTCATATACCAACTATTTCTTTTCATGGTTTCTCACCTACACCAGTCAGGTATTCTTTAAATTCAAATATCACAGCTCCTGAAAGCGCAAAGCTACCACCACTGGACACTCAAAATAAACCAAGGAGTGGAGCCTATCTGGACCAATGTAAAGAGAACACGGGAAAAGAAAAAAATCAAATGACTAATCATCCCCAAACAACTGCCTGATAAAAATGCAAAACAAGGGGCCAGCAAGGTGGTATGGTGGTTAAGGCACCGGATCCTGCATTGCTGACTCCAGTTCAAGTCCCAGACCCTGCAGCCGGAAAATTATGTTGGGCACATGTAAGTGTATACCCAAAATCCCAGGAGGAGAATGGAAGAGCAGGGATTATGGTATGGTCATTTTCCCCAGAAGGGTTAATCTCACTTTCCCTCTCTTTCCGAGAAGCACACATGCTCTATTGCAAAAATCTTATTTAAAAAAAAAAAAAAAGGAAACCAAGTCTTGGGCCTACTAGTTTCCAATTTCGTATCACTTAAATACATACCCTTTATTTAAATTCTCAGGAATTTTTATGGTTGTCATAAATACTTAGAGTGTGAACAAAAGATCTGATTCTGCTGGTAAGAAGGAGCTTGGTCTTCAGAGCCAAATTTATTGACTTGGGGTAGGAGGCCTTTGGTCAGAGTTCAAAAACAGATAATTAAAGAACAAAGGCATTTGTCCCCAAAGGTCTCAACTGTGAAAAAACTTGGCATTCCTAAGTGCCAATGGTAATTTAGTTATTCCAGCATATTCATTTTTAGCCCCACTAAAATGTGTTCTGGCCTAAAATGCAAGGTGGCAAGGTAGGGACAAGAACATGTACTTTGTAAATAACAACATGGCATTGAGCTTATTACTTTTCAAAAGGCTTCCACTAAAATATGCATAGCATTTCAACTGCTCATGCATCTAAGCCCTTGGCCATCCCTGGCACGAGCACTCCTGACAATAGGAAAGAGAGAAGCTGGCTGTCCAGAAAGACAAGTGACTTTCCCAAGGTCACACAGTGGTAGCAGGCCATCAACAGAAGGAAGGTACAGCCCTATGTGTCACCTGGATTTCCTGGTCGCACTCAGAGGCAGTCTGAATAATGGCAGAACATTAGCTGTTATCAGCTCTTCCACCTCCAAGGGGAAATCTTCGCCACCATCTCCTCGCGCCCTCTTTTTCTACAATCCTCTTTCGTTTATCCTCTGTCTCTCCCCCCGCCTCCCCTCTTCCTCTTGCCCTTTCTTTCTCCCCCCTCTCCTTCCTGGTATCCTCTCTGAGCGACAGTGATGGAAGCAGGAGGGAGGCCTCCTCTCTATTGCTCGTGCCGTCTACCCCAGCCTCGTAAGGCTCTCTAAGAAATCCGAGTTGGCACCATGATGGGCTGGCGAGCAGCTGCGACTCAGGCAGCTCATGCCTCCTGAAGATAGTCACGCTAATAAGGGGGTGGACAGAGACCTGACCCTCAGCCACCAAAGGAAGGGCACTAGAAACAACAGCAAAAGGCCCGTTTTCTACCCAACAAACAGAAGGCAATGATGAAAACTAGGGATCTCCCACAATCTCATTATCTAGGAAGCCCAGTTCCAGGATGCCTGGGGGAAAGATGAAGACATA